CTGCGCCTGGCCCTCCGCTGCCGGCGGCTCCTGCGCCGCGCAGACCGCGCGCCCCCTTATAGCCTCGGCCGGGTACGATGAGCTCACTGCCCCCGCTCGCCATTGGGCGCAGGTGACGTCGCTCATTTGCATTTCTGGGCGGGGCCAAGTCACTGACGCCCCCCCCGGGCTGCGGTTGCCTCGGTGACGCACGGTAAACGGCACAACAGCGCGTTGCCTTGTGGGTTGACGTCATGGGGGTGGGCCGCACGCTGGGGCCCGGTCACCCCGCCTCGGGAGTGCGGACTACCGCTGCCCCCCAGCACCGCCTCCCGCCAAGGCACGTCTCGGGTGGCGTGATGAGCTCGGCCACCAGGCGCCCGCCGGTCTTAAGGCCCCGCCCCGTGGCCGCGCGTGGGGCCCCAGCCTAGCGGGGGCGGTGCCGGCCTCGGGGGACCCAGAGGGGAACGCGGCCTCGGATGGATAAATAATTCCCTGGCGCCTCCCGCTTTATTACGCCGACGTTAACTCTAGCGCTCCTCTGTCTAGGCTTTGTGCTGGCTGGGAACCGGAGGCCTGGGGAAGTGGTGCCCCACCTCTCTCTCCTCTCTCCCCACCCCCAGCCCCATCGCAACTCCTGGCGCCGTGAGTGCTTCAGAAAGACTGGGGGCAGAGGTGCTGCCAGGCTTGATTAGAAGCACTTTGATCCTGATACTTTTCCTGGGTTGGGTCTAAAGAGTGGAGTCCGACTTACCTAGCTTTACAGGTTGGGAACTGCTCACGGAGCCAGGGCTGAACTTTTGTCTCTAGGTAGCTTCCTACGTTTGAACTCTGGGTCAGCCAGGGCCTGCTGTGGGTCCCCAGTAAGCGTGCCAACTCGAGCCCCTAACCTCCCCTTCCCCCCTATTTACCATTTAGCTGCGGGGGGTTGTGCTGTAGTGACACAAGTCCAACTGGTAATTATTTCCTGCATATTGCTATTATCATGGCTGTCAAGGGGTTAATGGGACTCCTAAAAGGCCGGTTGGAGATGGGATAGGAGGGAGGGGCCAAGTCTAATCACACTGCCTAAAGATTCTTGGAACCTCTGGAGTTGATGAACAGCCTAAGCACAATCCCTCCTTGGCTCTCATCACCCTGAGGATTTAGTCTGCTCAGCCTGGCAGTGGAGGTCCCACACCCTCCTTACCCTGACCCCTCTCTGACCTTTCACCTTCCTGCTCTCCAAGACTAGCTTACCAGCCCATTTCGACCTCAGGGCCTTTGTGTGTGCTTTGCCTCCTGCCTGGTGCTCCCTTCCCCAGTACAAATGTTTATTATCAAGGAGTCCCCTACCCTCCCTTTATTCCCATTATATTCTCAGATGCATCCAGAAAGATGGAGTGGACAATAAGTTCCCAGAGAGCAGGGATCTTGCCTTTTCTGTCTCTGCTGCCTCCCCAAATTCCTGCAAAGTACCTAGTATATAACGAATGCTCATTGTTAAAGGAGACATACTTCCTGACCAGGCTGCTGTGACAGCATCTGGCCGCAGCTTACCTGCCAGGTTGTGAATAGGAACACTCCCCCCTCTCCCTCCTCACTGGCCCTTGCCTCCACCTGGGTACTGGGGCAGGAAGGCTGTGAGGAAGGGTCCTAGCCTGTCAGCCAGAGGATTTGTGGGCAAGGGGTTATCTAAAATACGGAGGAATGTCTTCATGCCCATGTGCCTATTGTGTTCATATGTGGGTCAGTGTATCCATGTGTGCACATGTGTGGGTGTATGCCTCTGTGTGTTTGCTTATGGGTTTTCAGGTGTGGGTCTCTGTACCCTCCAGACCGGTCCTCTTGGGTCCCAGCCTAGGACCCCAGCATGTAGTCAGCCCTCTCTAGGACCCCTCTTTGGATCTGGCAGAGGTAGAGTTATCCTCCCCAAGGCAGGAGGGTGAGTGAGCAGCTTCAAATGCTCCACCTTGACCTTGGCCCTTTGCCTTGACAGGCAGGGAATGGTTTGCCTAGCTGTGGGAACAGCCAGCTTGAACTAAAAAGCTAACCAGTAGACAACCCTTAGGAAATGGAAGTGCTGGAAGACCAAGGTCTGTTATTATCTCTCTCTCAGTCTCTTTTCCTCATGAAAAAAGAGCAAACAGGGCCTCCTTGGTGGCACAGTGGTTAAAGTCTCAATGCTATAAAGCTATCACCAGCCACTGCAGCATGAGCTCAATCCCCAGCCACGGAGCTAAACCACATGGCACAGCAGACCTCTCCTGTCTCACCAGTGCTCCCCTCAGTAGAACTGCCTGTACTGCTTCCTACTCTGTCTATAGTGAATCCGCTCAAACACACATTCCCCCCCACCTCTGACCTACACTCTAGTTCCTGTATGCATAAATAAAGGAAATATATCTTTAAAAAAAAAAAGAAAAGAAAAAGGAGCAAATAAGCCTACCTACCTAACCGAGTACTATGATTTTTATTGGAAGCATTTCAGGAAATGCTAAGTAAGGAATCAATGAAAGTTTCCTACAATTGTTTATTACTTGGCCAAACTTAACTGCAATTCTTTGATCTGTAGTTCCCTCAACCTAGTGTCCTTAGACTCCTGGCAAACTTGTACTTATCCTTCAAAGTTCACTTCCAATGTCCCTTCCTTAGCCATGTCCCCTGCTTATTACTGGGGGGTCTCCTCTAAGATCCCCTCCATCTGACTGACTACTGTTTCCCATTTGTGTCATCTTCCAGTTTCCCAAGACTATTTTACAGATGGGGGGGAGGGAGAGTCCTTGGAGCTGGCTGGGGAGGATCAGATTGGTCTTTTACTATCAGGGAGCTGCCCTTGGCATTCTAAAAAGGCCAAGCCCTGTCACTTGCCCTTTGACCCAATGCTTGGCCCCATGGAAAACCAGGTGGTATAATGTGCAAAGGCAGTAGGAGTGTCAGGTGGCTGTGAGGGAGGAGGTTGTGCATCTTTGCCATTCTCCCAGTCAGTGCCCACTTCCCAGAGTCCTGAGAGGGCACAGATCTGCCTGGGGTCGTCCAGCCCAGGCCTGTGGACTCAGCCTGGTCCCCACCCTAGCCTTCCCACTGCAAGTTGAATGGCTCCTCTCTCCACCAGCCTGGTTCGAATCTCCACCTCTCCCCAGCTACGCTTTAAAGCAACCTGCAGCTTGATTTAACCTTTGGTTTTTATTTGAAGACCTAGAAACCCAACATCGACTTGCTAAAACGGAAAGCCCCAAAGAGAGAAAGGAGTTAGCAGGAAGCACAAAGGGGGAGGGGCCCTCGGAGGTGAGGTTTGCGGGAGACAGTGCCCACCTCCCCCACGTCTGTCAGCCCGCCCTCCTCACCCCACCCCAGCGCTCTTGACTGCAAGGACTGGGTGGGTTTTATGGGGACAGTCCCAGCACCCAACCCCCCATCCACTGCGTAGGCCTAGGATCAGCCCGCTGGTTGGGGCGGGCTTGAGGAGACTGTTTCTGTGGGGAGGCGGGGAAAGGGGCGCGGGCTGCAGCTGGGGGTGCGTCTGGCCCCGGCGCATTCCTTAGGATCAGGTTACTGGAGAAAGCGACGGCCCCTCCCCTCCTGCCGCGCGCCCGCCCACGCCAGGAGCTGAAGCTTTGCCTTAGCTGGGTCCCTTGCAGGTGTTTGTCCGGCTGCGGCTGGAACCCTGTCTCAGCCCTCGGGGCGAGCACCTGCTCCTTCCAGCCTCCCAAAACCTTGTCACTGATGGGGCAACCGACGCGCCGTCAGCCCCGGTCGGCATTGATGGAACCAGACTAACCCTGGCAGAGCCTGCTTTATGGCCCCTATCTCTGTTGACAGGGCTCACAGGCTGTGGTGTCCCCAGCCTCCCGCAGACCCACAAGAGCCATTCAGTGCAGTCAGTGTCTGCTGTTGGACTATCCAAACAGAGTGAACCCAGAAGGGCTGTAAGCAAGGAGAAAACAGGCGGATACACGGTATCCCAAATACCTAGGGCAAGTAGGACACTGGCGCTTTTTTTTTCTAAGATTGATTTACTTGGGTCCTGGTGGTGCAGCAGGTTAAAGCATACCACGATGAAGCTATCACAACCACTGCAGCATGAGTTCGATTCCCCACCAGGGGAGTAACCCACATGGCGTGGCAGACCTCTCCTGACTCGCCTTCTGCTCCCCTCAGCAGTGTACTTCGTCCATCTGCCTGTTCTGCTCCCCACTCTGTCTCTGGTGAAGCCTCTCAGCGCCCCTGAGCCTCTGGCCTGTACCCCAGTTCTGTATGCACAAATAAATAAATCTTTTTAAAAAAATGTACAAAATGATGTAAAAATAAATAACTGTTATAAAATTAAAAAAAAAAAAGATTTTTATTTACGCATACAAGAGCTGGGGTACAGGCCAGAGGTGTGGAGAAGATTCATCAGAGACAGAGTGGGGAACAGAACAGGTAGATCTACTGAGGGGAGCAGTGGGCGGCGAGACAGGAGAGGTCAGCTGTGCCATGTATCCATGTAGTCCCTGGCCAGGTATCCATCCAACTGCTGCAGTGACTGAAGATTGCTTCATAGTGCTGAGATTTAACCCCTTGTGCCACCAGGGAGGCCTCTAGGCTTTTCCTTTTGATGAATCAATGTGCCACATCCCAAATGTACTGGATTTGGGTGGATATTTACACAAACTAATCATTCTCAGGCAGATCAGACTTCATACATCATAACTTCTATGAGTAGAAGTCACTGTTTTCAGTCACTGTGTGAATTCACTTCTGCTCTGCATTCATCTCTCTCCCTCGCCAATTTATTTTTCTTTCTTTCTTTTTTTTTTTTTTAAGATTTTACTTATTTTGGCATAGAAAAACTGAGGTGTAGGGCAGAGGTGCTAGGAGTG